TGTGAAATCTGATACAATCTTAGATGGATTAAAAAAATTGGTAACAAGTGTGTAAAATTCTGTAGAATACTTGAATCGAATAATAACACGGAACAGAATTAAATATTATTTATAATTCTAGCATCTATATTATTCAAACCACACTCATGGTTGGCCATGGAAATGTAGCTGGAGAATACTTCTCCATTATAAAATATTGAAACGTGAAATTCAAAAATACCGATGTGCAAGAAAACCTATCCTAAATTAACCTAAATAAAACGCAAATAAGAAAACGTCATTATACGTGATTGTAATAAATACCCTCGATCGCTAGACTTGTTAAAAGTTCCATGTAATACGACAAGACAACCGTGTTGATTCAGTTCTTTTACATTACGGCATAACTGAGTGATTTTAGAAACAAAAAACATGAGACTCACCATTAGATGCGGAGAACATTGTCATCGATGTTGTGTTGGTATAGGAGAAGAAAAAATGAAGACCAGAAGAAATCTGTAACAAAACATAAAATATTATATAGAATATTATAAAAACAGTGTTAATTATTTATAAAATTTAAAATAACGAAAGACAAATTCTTATTAAGTATAAAATTTTATTGATAATGTACAGTTCAAAAAATTTAAAATTTTCACTTTTAATTGATAATTTACGTAAAATGTGAAACATTAGTTTAAATATAAAATATAAAGTTACTTACATTCTTGACTTTTGAAACACCACTATATTTTTCCCAGAAAACAGGGAAAAATGGAAATTGTACAAAGTCTGCAATAAAATGTGTGACGTTTCATAACTTACAGAATATGCAAAAGATAAAATAAATTGAAATATAACAAACAAAGGTACTTACATTCTCTAGCTCCAGGAAACACTTCATCCTTTTGCGAGACATGCGACTCAAAAACGAATACTGAAAAAAGAAATATATAGATGTAAAGTGTTCGCTTAGAAAAATAATGCTTTTCCAAAATTATAAACTAATTATTACTCATTTATTACGAAATTAATAAAAAGTATCACATTAAAAATTCGAAATACTAAATTATTATTATCAAATATCACTAAAATATTATTATATACTATAAAATGTTTCCCAATATTATCAGATATATATGAATATTACATAATATAATCGAATTACAAAAATTATACTGTGGATATTCATCATATTAGAAATTTAAATATACTCCGAACAAATCAAATATAGCGCGCTTTTATTGTCTGCGCAGTACTCAAATGACGGGATGCGCAGAACACGTTCAAAACTAACCGTTCAATTCTAACTTTGTTAAGAATATATGTATGAATTGAATGTTAAATCAACAAAATAATGCCAGTTATTCAATGAAATAACAAAACAAACATAGAAATAGATTTAAAAAAACGATTATTACCATTTCGCCACGAAAAGATTTATCCTCTGATATTTCAAAATTTCTCTCGCAATTAACTCGCAATCTACGCATAAAAAAAGAGAAAAACATTTAAATAAACGTATATTTATGATTAAATACAATTTATACAAAAATTATATTCAACTCAACTGTAAAAAAGGATAATGTTGGATAACACATACGAGGAGCACAATAATCCTTGCACTGCGAACACTCGCTTTTTAGATAGATTCCTAGTAATATAGATATAGTAATATATTACAAACTTTGACCAGTGCATGTGCTGCCATCTATTCAATTTGTTAGTTTTAATTCCATTCGAAAATTAGAGTGATTCAGATGGCAGAACCATCAATATACAAACACAGCAATAATATTAACATTAATATTAATAATAATAAGTGACAAGAGCAGACGTAGTAATTAGTTTCATCACTTCACTGATATGCAGTGCTAATGCCAATAAAGAATACTTTCATTCGTTAAAAAGCTTTATTAAGAAGATTAATTTGTAAACTTTTCCAAATGCGTCTTTAAAAATAAGATATTTAGCTTTTTTCCTACATGTACTTTCCATTTTGTACAAATCTAAAATTTGAAATTTTTATTCAATAGATATTGAAGAATGTCTTTTCACATACTGTTACTCTCTTTGTCTATCACACACATGTTTGTCGTCGCAAACTTTTGTGGCCCTTATTTTTTGTTTCTTTTTCTTTTTTTATTAAAGAGAACACGCTTGGAACCTTTTATGAGTTCATTTCACAAATATGGTACTAGCAATATATTTACATAAATATTTCTGTATTATCAAGTTATGGACATTAAATAAAGAAGGAAAGAGAAAGAGAAAAAAAGAAAGCAAAGATGTGACAAAGGAAAGAAAAGAAAAAAAAGAGAACAGGAGCAGGAGAGTACAAGTAGGTTAAAAAACAATCTTTTATACTAGGTCATTTCTCTTATGCACATATATGTAATTGGAACTTTTTCTTACGTTTTACAACGTCTAGAGTCTAGGTTGTTAGTCGTTTTTAACGTTCGCTTTATTCTATTGTTGGTACTGTTTGTATCATAAACTGGTTAGTGTTGTTCTTGCTACAGTCGTATTATTATAGTATTTGTTTTACTTTTTGATTGCATTCTGTGTTAAAGTGTGTGCTGACGACCCTTCTCGCTGTGATGTTGCGTCCTTGAATGAAATTTATTTCGTACAATACAGGCTGCTAATGTTTTTCTTGTGACAAAAAAGTATTCTCTCGTGAATTCAGGATAGCTCCAAGTATAGTTTAGTCTCTATTCCTCGTATTCGATTTAAAAAATTCACAAATTATTCTTCTTGACAAACTTTTCCTTCTAAACGTGTGCAGTGTATAATTTTGAACTTGGTAGCGCTCTCTGTCAGTAATGCAGTGTACTAACTAATTTTGAATATAATTTTAAATTTTCACGCCAATAATTCATATTCTATAAACGTACATCTCACAAATAAATTTAATTCCGATATTCAATGTAATTTGCGGTAAATTGAAACACATTCGAAACATATTTGAAAGAGGCTGTTCATTGGCTGAACAAAATTTGAAAATGATTATTAATACACATTGAAACGTAAATGGCACGTAAAACGAAGGCTAGGGGTCTAAAATAGACGAAAATATAAAAGTTAACAAATTATTCTTTTTCATTATTATTATAAAAGTTAACAAATTATTCTTTTCACGTGAAAAGTTTTTTCTCATAATTAATGCAAACTGTGACATTTTGGACATGGTGGCGCCATCTATTGGTAATTCAGTGGTAATAATTAATTTTAATAATAACAATTCGTCCATTTTAGGACGCACAAGTGGTATAAAAAGAAAGCTGAGAATCTAATTAAGAAGTTAAAATTGCAAAAGTTCATAATTTATTTTCCTAAATTAGGTGTTTTTGCAAATGAAAGTTTCATCGATTTATGGACACAGAAACACTAGCACTGCGTTGTGGCAAAAAGGTGGAACTAAAACCTGTTGCTGTCCTTGTCACACGCAGTTACTCTCTGTCGTATCGTATTCCAAGCCCTAACTATTTGGGAATAAAACTTTCGAATGGAGCATAACTTTCATTTTTTATCCAACCTTTCGTTGGCGAATAGATTTCACCGCTGGAAAATATGCGATTAATGGTATAAATTCATTTGCTGATCCCATATTGATATTTCTTAATAAAGGTGTTACGTCTTTTAGAGCAATACAATTCATACCAACGGCAATTATTTGCCCCGGCAATGCCTTTCTATAGCAGTCTAAAACAACTTCTTGGAAATTGCTTCTGTCCACTATATTTTGAGTGCCTTTTTCACACGAATAAGAAAGCCACGTCTTAACGTTTGGATATTCTTTTAAAAATTCTATTAATGCTGCTGCTTCTTGATAACAGAGTATAATTTCTAACGCTAATAAATTTATACCAGTATCAATGAGAGCATTTATACGTGATTTATGCCATTCAATGATGATACTGCGGGATGTTTGGCCATAAGCACCATTATATTCTGAACCATCCGTATGGTCCACAGGAGCCAGCAATCATAGGATGTCTGTTTTCTACATTGTCACTGTCCTTAATTTCCTTGTTATAATCATTCACTGCAGCTCTAGCAAGATGTACAGCCTTGTGTAACAGCTTTATAGCTACTGGAACTTGATACGTACTTGTTTCAATAATATCTACACCTGCTTGCAGGGAATCTAAATGCGTGTCATAAACTGCATTAGGGTTTGTTGCTAAAAATCTTGCTGTCCATTAAGGATCACCATCAATCTTTGCATCAACATGAGTGGATAATTGCGAACCAAATCCACCATCTAAAATCTTAATATCCATCTTTCTTTTGTGTTGTGACACAAAGACTATCCCAATTTCCTACTAAATTTGTAATAATGAACTTGATAATAAAATGCAACAATATTTAGTACGGTAAAAGTGTCTCACAATACAAGAATTTATACAAGAACTGTTCAAAACTAGCTACTTCACAATTCTGTATTTCTTATCAACTATTCGGAAATTAATCGCGATAATCTTCTATCCTTGCAATGAATGGTATTAAATGTTAATTTTTTTTTTTTAATGCAGTTTCACTAGATTATTAAAAGAAAAACCATGAGTAAATGAAATTACTAGATAATATTCTAAAGAAATTGTTTCTAACTATTGTACATACGTACATAAATAAATACGTACTGGCGTATAAGATAAATATACACATACAACACATGTATACAGTTTGTAACGCGCATTAAATGATCGATACATGATTTCTTACAAATTTTGAATTCTAAATGAGTTTAGAATTATTAACATCATGAGGCAAAAAAGTTCAAATAATTTGAGCTTTGCTTTAAATTTAAATATTTAAGCACATCGTAAACAAAATACGTGTTATTTTAAATACTTTTATTTGTATTTATCTAGATTTTGATATACTTCAAATGCTACTAAGTTTTTAAAATATAACATTCGTTTAAGTATAATTAAAGATTTTCAAAATTATTATTCACTTCTTTAAACTATTATTGCATTAATATTGTACAGCGTGCAATAGAATAATTGATATTACTTAATAGTAATTGAATATTTTTATTTTATTTAATAAATAAATCTTTATTTTTGACCTTGAATTTCGGTTACCAGTAATAGAACATAGTTGACCGCTAATAGTTCGATAAACATATCGAAAAACACTTTATACGATACATTCTTAGCAAGAAACAGTTTATATTTGTCGTTTTAAAATTTAAAATGTTTATGTTTATATACATATATATAAGGTTACTTCATTTAAAAAGGAGTACATTTCAAACGCGTGATATTAGTTACCGATTATCTTGTGAACTGTCCTTATACTTTTTCTCCAAGAAGTGCAAAGAAAGAAAAAAGCAGGGTAGTAGTCTGTGGTAAGTAAGTGGTAAGTATTTTATAAGACTTGTATTTTTTTTAAATTAGTTTATTATACATACATAATTTGAACTATACAATTTTCACTAAAAGATATAATAATCTACGAATGATGAAACTTTACAGTTAACTTCGAATATAAACATATAAACTTTTAAATTACTTATTTTTGTATTAGATATGTACAAGACATATCAAACAGGTGGAAATTTTAGTTTATTAGACATAAATGCTCTCCCTGACGAAGAATTTGAATGGCTTTTTGGCAATGTTATTGAAAAGAATCAAGCGATTGCAGAATATGTAGCACAGAGAAGACCATTTAGAACAGTTCAAGATCTCAAAGATTGTTTTTATGATTATTTATTTGAGATGAATAGTATTGGTAAAAACAACACATAATAATAATAACTGTTATATAATGTTTATATCAGAATTTTTATATATTACGACGTAGACTTCATGTTAATTGTGTTATTCATTTTTAGAAAAAATAAGTGTAGTGCTCAGATATCCAGATTTCCTAGAAAACTTGGTATACTTACAAGAATTTTCTAATACTGCAACAAATACTACACAAGATCCTGAATACCAATTTATAACGAGACGGCAGAGAGAAATAATGGAGGAATACAATGACTTGTGAGCAAATTAAAAAGAATTAATAATTTCACTGCAAATAAAGGATTATAAAACTTACGTTTATATGTGTTACTTCAGATACAAGCTAAAATTTGCTATACCTTTTGTAATACATTTACAACGAGGAAATAAGGTGGAAACAATTCTTGCAGCAATGGAAGAACGTTTGACACACGCAACAGCTCACGAATTAAATGTTACAATGGAAGAAATTTGCAAAATATGTAGTAAAAGAATAGATTCGCTTGTATGGCCGGATGTATAACGAAATTTATCTTTAAGTAAATTCAATGCTATTTGTAAATTCACTTAAGTAAATTCAGTGCTATTTGTAATAAAGTACCTTTTAAATTAGACACTTATTAATCATTTATTGTTACTTAGGATGTTTGATAATATAAAGTAAATGATTTACTATTAACAGAAGATTATAAAATCCCAAGACTTTTCTCAATAGCGTGCGGTTGGCCTATTTGTTCCTTAAATTTAGGTATATTTAATATATCTTCAAACATAAATGTGTAAAAAAATTGTTAGAATTTTAACATTTACTAATCAATGCCTTAGAAATTATGAACCAACATTAATAATAAACCCTAACGAATATTTAAAATTAAAATAAATATACAATTGATAAGCAATAAAAGCATCTAACTAATCTTTCTCTCCCTTGGATTATTTGATTCAGACGAAGGAAGTACTTTAATTAATTTACCCTATTTCTTCATCCTTTCCAAGTACATCTTTCATCATATGCGACGATGGAAGAAATGGAAGTCTTCCAATCTTTTCAGCAGCCTTTAATTCCATTGCCAGACGTATTGGAGCATGTAATCCTTGCGTATTTCTTAACAGCACATGTTCAGGCAAGTACAGTTTTTCTCATACTAAAAAATACACATATATAATATATAAAAAATATCCATATGTAATACATATTATAAACTTTCGTACACCTATTGTTATATCTCAACAAATAAAATTATTTTCTTACATTTTTTTCTGATGCTTCCAATAGAGGTGCATAACCTGTTGCCTGGTTGCTGCTAATCCACCAACGAAACAAATCAAACAGTAATACATTTGATATTAGATGTGAGTTTAATTACTAATAAAATTGTAATGACGATAATCATTCGTACCCTAAAACCAATGGATTCGGTATACCATAATTGTTATCATGTATATTGAACTACTCGTTGACAGTAGGTTTTGGAACAAGTGGTGGCAAACTGAAACTCTGAAATATATTAGTGAAAATTTGTATTCTTTTTTGTATTTTTATGCTTTAGTCACCGAAGCGTTACAAGTAATTGTTCCATTGTAAAAAAAATGTATCTAAAATGTTATAAGAAACTATTTTCAAAGTATAACACAAATGTATATTATTTCTAACCATTGTTACTTGATTATATGTCTTATGCATAAGTCTTCAAGAAAACCAAATCACGCAATGTGAATTTACAACACAATATACATTAGTTTCACAAATTCATTAAAAAATCAACTCCACGGTTACATATGCAAGTCAGTAACAATATCATTAATAACACAAAACATAGACTCGAAATTTTCTCCTCCGATTGATGCTTCGATCCATGGAGCAAAATTGAAATATCCTTATAAATAAATTTTGCAAGTTAAATAAAATACAGGAAGAAAACTAGAGGCTTAAAAACGACAAAACAATTCCAAACATTTCATAATTGAGCTTCCAAATTAGGTATTTTTGGTAACTGAAAAAAATAGCTCGTTTACGTACACAAATGCTAGCAGCGCGTACTAGCAAAACGATGAAACTAATGTATATTGCTGTCCTTGTTGCAATCAATTGCGCTCCTTATCTATGGCGCATATATGTCTGTCCTTGTCGTACATTAGTCTGCTCCTTGTCTAATGACACTAGACAAGGAAAGCAACAGTGTGCAACAAGGACATGTTTCGATCTATTGAAAAAAAATTCAACTTTTTACACACACGTTTTTCTAGGACAAAATACACATAGAAAGAAAGGGGGAAGCCTAATTTCGAGGCGGCATATAAAAAAGTACGCAAACTATTCCTCTAAATTAGGTTTTTTTCGTAATTAGTGCGAACTGTCACAAAATGGACACGGTGGCGCCATCTAGCGGTAGCTCAGTGGTAGTAATTATTTCTAAAAATACTTATTTCTGCATTTTACGGGTCAAATGGCATATGAAAAGAAAGCTAAAGGTCTAATTAGCATAATACAATCACCAAAGATCACACTTCAATTTGCTAAATTAGGTTTTTTCGCTTATAAAAATTTCTCTGTTTTACGGGGTAAGAAACACTAGCGCCGCGTTGTGGCAGACCGGTGGAACTAAACGCTCTATAACCACACAAAGAAAATAATTATTTTTAATTTTTCACGCCACAAATTCGCACTCCACGAGCACGTATTTCAAAGATAATACTATCAACTACGTTCGCAAATAAATCTGAATCTAATATTCACTATAGTTTGCGAGAAAATATGCACTCATTACTGGCACCACCACTAACGTAAACGAAACTGAAACATCCTTTATATACGGAAACTATACTTAAAAAAAACATAGAACGCAAGCTGAAAGTCTCTAAAATTGAAGACGCAACCATAACAGTACACAAATGATTTCTCTCAATTAATTTCTTTTCGTAATTTGTGGAAAACTGTCACCTGTCAATGTTTAGATGCAACGTTGGCGCCATCTGTTGGCGACTCGTTGGTACTAAAAGTAGAAAATTCTGTTTTTAGTAGTACCGAGTTCTCAACAGATGGCGCCAACGTTGCATCTAAACATTGACAGGTGACAGTTTTCCACAAATTACGAAAAGAAATTAATTGAGAGAAATCATTTGTGTACTGTTATGGTTGCGTCTTCAATTTTAGAGACTTTCAGCTTGCGTTCTATGTTTTTTTTAAGTATAGTTTCCGTATATAAAGGATGTTTCAGTTTCGTTTACGTTAGTGGTGGTGCCAGTAATGAGTGCATAATTTCTCGCAAACTATAGCGAATATTAGATTCAGATTTATTTGCGAACGTAGTTGATAGTATTATCTTTGAAATACATGCTCGTGGAGTGCGAATTTGTGGCGTGAAAAATAAAAAATAATTATTTTCTTTGTGTGGTTATAGAGCGTTTAGTTCCACCGGTCTGCCACAACGCGGCGCTAGTGTTTCTTACCCCGTAAAACAGAGAAATTTTTATAAGCGAAAAAACCTAATTTTGCGAATTGAATTGTGAACTTTGGTGATTGTATTATCCTGATTAGACCCTTAGCTTTCTTTTCATACCCCATTTGACCCGTAAAATGCAGAAATAAGTATTTTTAGAAATAATTAGTACCACTGAGCTACCGCTAGATGGCGCCACCATGTCCATTTTGTGACAGTTCGCACTAATTACGAAAAAAACCTAATTCAGAGGAATAGTTTGCGTACTTTTTTATATGCCGCCTCGAAATTAGGCTTCCCCCTTTCTTTCTATGTGTATTTTGTCCTTGAAAAACGTGTGTGTAAAAAGTTGAATTTTTTTTTGAATAGATCGAATGATGTCCTTGTCGCACACTGTTGCTTTCCTTGTCTGTCGTCATTAGACAAGGAGCGCACTAGTGTTAGACAAGGACAGACATTTATGCGCGGTAGACAAGGAGAACAATAGCGCTTGACAAGGATAGACATATATGCTTGGTAGACAAGGAGAGCAACAGCGTGCGACAAGGACAACAACAGGTCTTAGTTCCTTCTTACTGCCACAACGCGGCGCTAGTGTTTCTTACCCCGTAAAACAGAGAAATTTTCATAAGCGAAAAAAACTAATTTAGCGAAATGAATTGTGAACTTTCGTGATTGTATTACCCTAATTAGACTCTTAGCTTTCTTTTCATACCCCATTTGACCCGTAAAATGCAGAAATAAGTATTTTTAGAAATAATTAGTACCACCGAGCTACCGCTAGATGGCGCCACCATGTCCATTTTGTGACAGTTCGCACTAATTACGAAAAAAACCTAATTTAGGGGAAAAATTTGCGAACTTTTTTTAATTGCCTCCTTAAAATTAGGCTCCCCGCTTTCTTTCCGTGTGCGTTTTGTCCTAAGAAAGCGTGTGTGTAAAAAGTTGAATTTTTTTTTCAATAGATCGAAGGATGTCCTTGTCGCACACTGTTGCTTTCCTTGTCTGGCGTTATTAGACAAAGAGGTCACTATATGACATGGGGAGCGTGCGACAAAGACAGACATATACACGCGATAGGCAAGGAAAGTAACGGTGTGTGACAAGGACAGTAATAAGTTTTAGTTGCACCTTTCTGCCACAACGCGGCGCTAGTGTTTTTGTGTCCATGAATTAAGGTAACTTTCATTTGCAAAAAAAGCTAATTTGGGAAAGTAAATTATGAACTTTTGCAATTTTAACTTCTTAATTAGAGTCTCAGCTCTCTTTTTATGCCACTTGTGCGTCCGAAAATGCACCAATAATGATTATTAAAGTTAATTATTACCACTGAGTTACCAATAGTCGCGCCACATTGTCCAAAATGTCAGTTTGCATTTATTATGAGAAAAAACTTATCAAAAAGAATAATTTGTTAACTTTTATAATTTTGTCGTCTGTTTTAGACCCGTAGCTTTCGTTTTACGTGCCATTTACATTTCAATGTGTATTAATAAAAATTTTCAAATTTTTTGCAGTAGATTAAGAGCCTATTTCAAATTTATATTCAATGTATTCATTTTCTCGCAAATTACATTGACTATTGGAGTCAATGTTGTAATTTAAGCTGTTATTTTATTTCTATAATATTTCTAAACATTATATTTAATGTTTCTCACGGTTTCTAACTCAAATTCAAATACAGGCGCTGTAGGATTCAGCGCCATCATTTGCGACTTGTGAGAATATAACCTATAATAGCGTTCAAGAATTTGAACACGTGTGTATTTTATAAAATAGAATTTATAAATGTTTAAATGATTAGTACAATATCTCTTTGTGAAATATAGTGTAATATTTAAGTATCAAAATGCAGCACGACGATGTAAGTGTATCAAGGATTATTTATATCTTTATATTTATATTCTTTATATTTTATATAATTTGAAACTGTTTCAGGTCGTGTGGAGTGTCATCAATAAATCATTCTGTTCTTTTAAAGTAAAGTAAGTACAGTTTAATAACAACACTGTTTAATATGATTTTAATTTATTTTTTTATTTCTCTAGCACCAAATCACAGAGGTTCTGTCGCAATGAATATAACCTCACGGGTCTATGTAGTAGAGCGTCTTGTCCTCTTGCAAATAGTCAGTATGCCACGATTAGAGAAGAAAATGGTATTATTTATTTATATATGAGAACAGCAGAAAGGTAAAAACTTCATGTTCTTTACAATGCAATGTGAAATTGTATATTCTATGATTGTATGCATATTATACTCTGCAGAATACATTTTCCAAAAAATGCATGGGAAAAGGTAAAACTTTCTAGGAATTTTGAAAAAGCGATGCAGCAAATCAATGAAAATTTGCTGTATTGGCCTGGTTTTATAAAAGCAAAATGCAAGCAAAGATTTATAAAAATTACGCAATATCTGATACGTATGAGGAAAATAAGGTTAAGAAGGCAAAAGCAGATTGTGCCAATTCAGAGAAAGATTGAAAGAAGAGAAAGACGCAGGGAAGAAAAGGCTCTTATTGCTGCAAGATTAGATACTGCGATAGAGAAGCAACTTATGGAAAGATTAAAACAGGGCATGGTATGTATTTTTCTCTTTCCCATCGTTTTACCATCTCTACCATATTTTTTTTCTTTACCAACCTTTTTTTCAGTACAAAGATATTTACAACTTTCCACAAAAAGTATTTGATAAAGCTGTAGAAGCTGTGGAAGTTGAAGGTGAAAGTGAAGCTGAAAGTGAGGAAGAAGAAAAAGAACTAGAAATTGAAAAAGAAGTGGAGTTGGAATTAGAAGCAGATGAAAGAGAAACAAATACACCTCATTTTGTAGAAGCAGAAACTGACGAAGAAGATGAGGATGATGATTTTGATGTCCAAGAAATATCTATGGTAATGTATATCTTTCGTTTAAATATAATTGTACAATTTATATTTAATATTAATTAATCTATTTCAATAGGACGAGGATAGTGATTCAGGGAAAAAAGAAGAAATCGAATTATCTGATGGCTTTGTATCTGACACTAGCGATATTGAAGTAATTAATGTTATAGCTATTTACGTTTGTTTTTCTTTATAATACGATTGTATTTGAAATTATTGTATTATTGTAGGATTTAGTACCTGCAGCAAAGAAAAATGCGAAAAAGTCTGTCGGCAAGAAACAGAAGTCCCAAAAGAAAACTCGTCCAAGAGTCGAAATTGAGTATGAGATGGAATCAGAATTATATGAAGAAAAACAAGCGAGATAAACTTTTAGTTAGGATATTTGTAATTATATTTCTAATAAAATTTTAAAATTGTTTTATATATTCTACAATATATACTATTCCTGTAATTTCTTAATTTTTTTATTTACAAAGTATAACTACAACCATCAACCAACAATCATTACAATCATATAGCATGATACAGAAAAACAACTGCAGAATTTGAAATTGGCGCTTAACATGCTCTGAAAGCATTTATACAAAACATAGATGGCATCCTTTCGAGCAGAAATTCGCAGATTAGCAGACGACACGTTTGTACATAAAGAATAAGGTAAATTCTCTCGATTTTCTGCATGAAGAATATAAATGAACATGAATGAACAAATCGCAATTAACAGAACCTTGGTTCAAATAAATTGTTATTGATTTGAAAGTGTGACGTGTTGTACAAACTTTGACAAAAATGTAGTCTTGAGAACGTGTTTAATTGTTCATTATATGTGCTGTTTATTTTTTACGTACTCAAATACACGGCTGTCTTTTTCAACGAAAAATCACAATCACTCAAATAAGATTTTAATAGGTGCTTGCTAAATAAATTAACAAATAAGTAACAGCCAAATACATATGTATACAATACGTTGTGTAGATATAACCACTTGAGTGAAGTAACTCCTCATACTTATACTCTAAAGAAAAAGAGAAAAGAAAGAAGAAAAATATATTCGTTGACGGTTTCCTAACGAACTAAAGGTTTCATTGAATTGATGATCGCTTGAAGCAAATTTGCTCATTGTTTGCGAATTCTGTGCAAAAATATTATAATAAATCGGCTCCAGCCAAATGTCACGAACATCGCGTTACCCGTGACAGTGCTTTTGTTTGCTATAAATAGAAAAAGTAGGTTATCCGCAAAATCAATTCTGAAAATAGAATAATTAACTAAATACATTTATCATTTTGTTTGTAAAATTTGCAAAGAGAGTCCAAGAGAATCATAGTTTTCATTGTTTTGTAGAATTATTTTTGTTTTATTTCATAAATCTTGCTGTAATATATCTTTTTAAAATGTTGATAAAAATTCATGAATAATGTGATTATAAATAAATTTCATTGCGACAAATGTGTATTTGATACGTTGATGTTAAGAATAATTGATAAATATTGTTAATGAAATGTCAATTTTATCTTTATCGTGATATATATGTTATATAAATCTATTAAAAATATTGACTAAGCTTCAGTATGTTTCTGTGTTGTCTGTTATTTTATTAATATAAAATTTGTTTTCTATTACAGGCATATTATGAAATTTTTAAAAGAATTTTTTGACATCTTTAATGAGAATTAAAAGGAGACATGACCCTAATGTAGACTGATTCGGATCTTGCATCTCAAATTTGCTTTTTATTTTGTACATCAATGTCAAGATATTAGATAATTTCACTATGGAACTGAATAATGTGGGAAACAATAAAAGTTCCATACACATGGCAATATCATTTAAAAAATTGTGTTTGGCAACGGTGTCCTTACCTCTTGTCACACTTTTAGTCTGTTTTGTTACAGCATATATCTTCCAACAAGATGATATCCATGAAACACACTGCAGGGTATGATATTTTAAGATCTTTTTCTTAATTCTTCTAAAATTTCCTAATGTGTCTCTTCTTGATTTTAGGTTTATAATGTACTTCCATCAATCTCAGCTATAACCGGTATATCTCCTCAAAGATATTTATGGCGTATAAGCATAGCACTACACATAGGTCCACGTCTAATTATTGCCAGTGTATATCATTCGTATTATTATAAAATACTTAAAACAATTGAAGACGTACCTTCTAAAATTATGGGATCTAGACTTTTAAATCTATGTTATTGGTTAAACATTGCAGAAGTGGCAGCCCTATGTGGAGTCACATATATCTCTAATAGAGAAAATTATTGTGAGTAATAATGTAAAATATAATAGAATATTTGTATAAAAATAAATTGTATAATACAATAATGGTATTTTTCAGCTGTGCATGAAAAGATCTTCATCCTCTTTATGATTAGTTCTTTAACATATATGCTAACAGAAGTGAGATTGGGTCGTCTTGTAACACCAAATGCACAAAGTCTTCAGTACAAACAAGCACTTTTTATAACTAGTCTTGTTAGTACTGTTGGACTTATTATTTTCTTCCTAAAGCACAGGCTACTGTGTCATGATCTGGGTAAGAGAATTTACACATTTTATAAATAAATTATAAATCATTAAATTATTATAATATCTTTCTTAACAGCATTTAGCTGGTTTTCCTTGTGCGAATATGTGATTGCCTCTGCAAATATGGGTTTTCATGTAACTGTAATTCTAGACTTTCCTAAGGAGCAGCTGATTGTTGGAAATGGCTTATCTACCTTAAAGGTGGATTAATTTGTAATATTTTATACTCATTATTATCTTATTATTGTCATCAAAGTGCCTACTGCCACTGTCTGGAAGTGCTATTGCCAAAAGTGATACCATATATAATATCGTACTATAGATAGCTGAGTATCCACTGATAAATATTGGTAAATATTTCTTAATAAAATGGTTGTAATGGTTATATAAATGAAATCAAAACTTTAATGAAATCAAATATTAAAAAATTCTCTTATCTTAAGGAAAATAATTATGAATGCAAGATCTGTATAATAGTTGTCGTAATTTACATTTTTTCTTTTTAGTAACTTATTCAGATTGATTGTAAATTTATTCAAATCACGATTTATATTTAAAAGTATTTCTAAAAATATTTATGAACTATATACTTATTCACATAAATAATTAAATTATATAGATGACTTTTATTAAAAGATATTTTTTATGTTTAGTGGATACACGGTTTGAAGCACAATATTTTTTCTATTAGCAGATTTTAGCGAAATAGAATTAATTTTATCGTTTTAAGTAATGCTGCAATACGTAAGATAGTTTTGTGCTTAGCATTTGCTTAGTTGATGACTTTTATCTTAAATACACTTTCCAATTACAAAAAGGCACAATTGAAAGCTAAAGCCAAAAAGAGAAAAAATATTTAAAAAAAAATCTAGCGCTTCCAAAGTATGGCACTGGTATCTTCCCAGGCAATGAGAAATAATCTTTAATGGCCTTTTAGGTAGTGAGAATTTGTAGTGATACAGAACAAATATGTATCCTACATACAAACAATATTTAACATAAAAGTCCAAAATAATGAAATTTCATATTTTATTTCGAAGAAAGAACTATTATTAGTATAAAGTAAAAACATGTGCTTATTTATCGTGAATTTTAAATCGCTTCTCTAGTTTTTAAAAAGTGAGATTTCTAGTCGATATTTTATTCTAGTCCTTTTACAATTTTCTCTTTTTTTTTCTTTTTTTATCTGTTTTAAAAGTAATATCATCGTTCTCATGTCATGAATTTTTAACACATTGTTAGCATGTAGGATGCATTTGCGTACGTTCATGGAATAATTGTACGTAATCCTAATTTAAGATATACATAGTAGAGATATTATTTATCATTGTACAGCTATAATACTACTAATATATTTTATCGTGTCTATATATCATACGAATCATACACTATGTAAAAATGAAAGGAAAAATACAACCAAAAGAGATGTCAGTTACTCGATACTCATGTAATATGGATTGTAGCAATATTGTATCATGAACATAAGGATGAATTATTATATTCATTTACGTAGCGTATGATTCTTAAGTACAACACGATTGGCATTTAAATAATCACGACGAAAATAGGAAATGCAAACAGAAAGTGAAATCGATGATTATCTTGTACGATATATTCCTGACCAAAGCATGATTATTACGTCCAAAAAATACGGAGCAAATTGACGAAGTTAATTCGAATAACTGTTTGTACTAAATTTTATAACGACATGTTCCCTTTCAAGATATTCGCGTTAAATATTTCACAGAGAGCATTAAATGAGAAACAAGAAAAACTATTTGTGATAAAGTGCACTATTGGAATCAGTTGTATAAATTCCTACGATTGTATATATTACTACGACGTTACGTAAGTAAAAATATGATTTTGTTTTTTAAATGCAATTAACTCCAAGTATATTTGCATGGTATATTTTCGAATACGAATAGGAATATTTTTTTATATTGACAGACGTCAATATGTTTATGTATTTCACAACTTTTTTTGTTGAGTATCTCATAATTGCAAGCTAAATTCAATTGTCAAGTGTTCAAAAGCACGTGAAAATTGTAATGTCATGTACAATCATTCGAGCAACATATCTTGATGACTACCATCGTAAAAAGCAAGCATTTGTAATTGCCATATAGAAGTAATCGCAGACTGTTATGAATTAATTTATTGGTACCGAACGTTAAAATCCGTGCCAAGTGATGATTAAAGATACCGTGCGTATATTAGAGATCTATTACATTGGGATAGATCTCGATCTGATAAGACAGAATATCTTTAATGATTCACTTATTCGCGATAAATCGTTTTTACAATTTTATTCTGTTCAAATATATTTGGAAATTAAACGATTTTCTGCACTTGTTGCATACAGATGAAACATGCACTGCTATATATATATATTAAAACGTTGTCTTTATAAGGCAACTACGCTATATAGGAGGCTTGAAAAGGAGGCCAGATGTGATAATTTCTGATCAATTGTTTGAGAGATTTCTTATTATTCGTTCGAGTAATTATGATAATGAAAATTATTCTAATTACAAATACAGCATAGCTGAAATAAGTTTCAATTTAATTGTTAATTTTCTGCAATTCATTTTTGATGAAAATAATCTCCCAAACAATTCTTCAAAATTTTCCACCCATGTCTCAAAAACACCTCGTATGTCACGATTCACTCAGACATTATGTTCAAAATTATTACATTAATGTGTATATTTAAACTAGATAATATTATATCCACCGTTGTTCATCTTGGTATCTGATTTTATAGGAAGCTTGTACATAAGCGTTATCATTATATTATACTTGACAAACGATCGGTCGCGGTCAAGGAACAAGAGAAATCTAACACGATTTGTGTAAAGCAGCATCGTCTATGTCGATGCCAAAGCACGACGTGGAACAACCTTGACATGTGTCAGAATCTCTGTTTAATTGATGTCAGCCACTTGGCACGATGACACTGTCATGAATTAGGTTGAACGTCTCCTCGCGACTCTTCGAATAACAGGTTTATTATGTAAAGTAGTTCAAAGCGGGTTCTGGAGCAGAGTGATACCATCACTATAATTATAATGATTATTTATTAAAACTGTCACATTTACACTTTGCTCACTCTGTCTCCTCTCTCTTCTCTCTCTCTCTCTCTCTCTCTCTCTCTCTCTCTCTCTCTCTCTATCTATCTATCTATCTATCTATCTATCTATCTATCTATCTATCTATCTATCTATCTTTCTCTCTAAATCACATGTACATAGAGAACAAATGCACATACACAGATACATAGCCAAAAGTATTGAAAATACAGCGTGAGAAACTTTTTATCACGATTAATACTCGGATTAAAGGGATCGATGATAACAGTTTATTGATCAAAGATTATAGGGGTATTCTAATTTAGTAAATATGAAATTCAATTTTTGGATTTTTTTCATCGCATGAACGATAATTACGTGTTCCCAAAGATTTAAAAAATTTAAAATAAAAACGAAGATAATTAAAATATTTGGCGCCATAAGATGTTCAGTCTGCATTATCACTTATCTAAAACAGGGGTTAATCTAAAATTATTTTTTTGTCACGTGCCAAAAATCAGTGAAGAAAATAATTATCTAAATTGGAATATCCCGTTTTTGCGATTAACAAGATGAAAGATGAAAAATTTTAAAGATATACATACGTAGTATTGTTCATTTGACATCTCTAAATCGTTGCATGCATACACGCACATTAGTATTTTTGAAAACAGCTTTTTACCATTCGACAACACGAGTTAAATATTTAAAAATTTCATCTTGGAAAGATCGAATTTGGTAGAAAAAGTTAAGTACGATAGATACTCCTTCCCAAAGTGATTAAAGAGAGAACAATATAGCTGATGAAACTAATCGAAATATTTGCTCTGCTCTTAGGATTATTATTATTATTCGTGCTTTTTGTATTTTTAGAGTGACAAGATTTAGTTACAAGTCGATATTTTATGTATAGTTATTTACAGGTATTTGACGAGATTGCGTCTCGTAATTGTGAAATCATCAAAAATCTCAAAAATGATTTCATAGCTATGAGACTTAAAAATAAATATATTTTTTTTTTCTTTTTTCCCCGCTAAAGATTTAGAAATTTCGCGTACCAGGAACTTCGTAGTTTCGATTGAACATTCTAATTAGCAATAATAAAGTAAAGAGAGTAATGACAAACATATCGATTCGATAGAATGATTGGAGTTTTTTGATTTTCATGTATTGTATATAGAAATATGGAAACGATAAGGAAAAATTCTGATAAATGATATTTTCACATGAATGTTATATGCTTCCTTTTAAAAATTATTCTTTCACTTGTTGCAGTAGAAATTTGAATATTTTTTTCTTTCTCGGTACGTGAATTATGGAGACTATCGACAATTCTGTGATAATCAGCACAAATATGTAGCTGTTTTACTCTTTGCGCTTTTATGTTTGTATAGCATTTTACGTATTATCTTTTACAGAGTTTCTTCTAGTAGCAGTAATTTGTTTCCAATTTTTCGGGATCATTGCTGTTTTTTAATTTCAATTGAGAGTTTGTTATACGCGTTATCACAGAATGTGCTACTGTTCTAATTGAACTCTCTTTGCCATGGAAAATTGCATGTAAAGGTGTCTTCTTGAACTTTTGAATTTTACTATGTAAACACAAAACGAAAAACGATAATGCTAAAGGACACTTAATACTTTGATGATAACTAAAAAAAGATATTATTGAGTCTTTTTATGGACGAAAATGCTCAAATCTATTGAATTATACTTTCGTTTAATCTTATTTAAAAAAAAAACGTTTTGATATATCTAGACGAAGCCGAAAAGTTTGATTCGAGCAAAAAATTTTTGATGAAAATATCATAATCTAACTGTATGACACGATTATATAGGTCGTGTAGATTCTATAAATCGAACACGGTAGAAGAGCTAATATAAAACAAGATTAAAAGAAAGAGAACGACGATTTGTCACGGGAGGTGTGCTCGCGGCTGTCTGTAATTTTCTGGCGCCTGAAGCTCAATCTTCTCTTATACGCACGATCAATTAGAGCGAAAGTGATCGAGCGTCAAGTCCGACTAAAACTTCGGCATGTCTGCCGAAGGTAATTGAACTCCGTTGACCTTAATACAGAAAACGAATGAGCAAACGGAACGAACCGTGCGACAACGATGGATGAAGTTTGCGTGAATTACCAATAGACTGCGAATATTTATGCATTTGTAGAAAGTTTCAAGATAAAAAAAAAAAAAAATGCACAGAATGCTTTTAATTACTTTATAAATTCGAATCAAGTCGAATACCCAAAGTTTGCATACTCGTAGGCAGCTGAAAAAAAAATATGCAAAAGTGTCGAAAACTAGAATAGAATATCGAAAGTAAAATATTGATTGTAATTAGTTAGCAAGTGAAACAAATTTGAATCGAACCTGCATAAATATTCACAGTCTAATTAGCAAAATTATTATCGATATAGAGTGGGTGATCGTGTTTTTTTCAAATGTAATTTATTTTTATGATTGGTTGGTTGGTTTGGCTGAAAGTGTAGTGTAACGAGCTACGTTTATAATCGGCTTAAATAACGCGCCCTATACTGTGATTGAAGCGTTGATACGCCAGAGTAAAGTGTGAAACTGCGTGGATTTTTTTTAGAGAGCGAGAAACGTTCGAGATGGATTTTCCATTGTTCATGTAATACGTAATTAAATATAATTAAATAAAGCGTACCGTGCATGTACCTTCTGGCCGTTTCGAGTTCTTCCATCTTTTATTTTCTTTCAATTATTGGCAATACAAATATCATTTTATTATAGAACGAGTGACTGAAAGTTTCGAACCAATTCGTTTTCTTAATTGGCACGACGATCCTATTCTCGTCTTTTCGTTCAAATAGAAAGAATTTTTTGTACTCGATGCAACTTCACCAACACAACCAATTCGTTGAGAAATATCTAAAGTCATGAAAATCACGAATATTCTTTATCGTATATATGAATGAAATTGAAAAACAAATTGATGTGGGTGTCTTGTAACTGATCCTACACGTATACACGTATACACATACATTTATAGAAATGTCACAGATAATCTATTAATCTATTATAGGAATAATCAATCTAATATTAATCTATCATTAATAAATAGAGATATTAGTTTAATCATTTTCCAAGTCAAGATATATTTAAATGCACATTTAAATATTCAAAGGCAATTCCTTGCATGAAAAAATTTTATTTCATATCTTTTATTTTTTTTTTTTTTTTCAGATAGAGTCACCTTCTCATACAACCAACCAGTTACAAAACATTCTGTATGACACTGAGGCACATATATTTACCGGACAAAGTTTGATCAGCGATATCAGTTTCATCTTTCAGAAGATTCCCATTCAATCTGCTCGATTTGTTCACTTTCGCAGAAGCTTCTTTGGCTTTGCCATCATCGTTCAGTGGACGAGATCTTTTCACTTTCTTTTCATCGAACGCAACGACAGAGTTTGCTGAAGAAGTATCCATACATTTTCTACACCGCCACACGATTCTCGGATCGTAGATATCGATGTCGACGACAGGGGGTTGATGGCACAGGGGATGATAGACTTCTTGACATTCTTGACACTCCAGCAGTATCAGCGGTCCTAACTTTGCTCCGTTACAGATCTACGATTCCACGAAGTGAAATTAGGTAAAATACAAAGTTATTTTTATACGACAATTTACCGACTGTCAAGTTGACGAATGTGAAACGTTTTAATCACAGGTAGTGTACGTTTTTTTAAAATTGGTTTTTTACTGATTCGATGCACGTTTCGAATGATTGGTAGAATATAAATAACGAAGAAACCTTGCACAGGAGTCCATCTCCAAATCCTTCGTCAGGAATAGATATCCTGGGAATGTCCATCTTCTCGCTACAATCCTCAACATCTATGTCAAATACTTTCATCTGTTTCCAATTACTTTCCGTCGTATCATTCGCAGAAAACAACGGACTTGTGGTATTTCTGGACAGTTTATCATTGCCTTTTTTACGCCAAGACGTTTCCGATTTCTCGTTGGCGAACAATTTCCCACAGATTTTCGTATTCTGCAGAAATTTCTTCGGCATCCTGGCTATCAAAGTTGTGTCAAAGCCATACTTCTTCTCGATAGACGTATGCAGCATTTTACGAAGTTTCTCCGCACTGTCGTTCTCCGTCGAATGTAGCAGTGCCAACGCGTTGTAAAATTCCTCGTCAATGTCAGACGCATCTTCCATATCCTCGTACATTATATACGTTTTTGAAAATGCCTTTTCTTCGAAATATCTTTTTCTTTTTCTAAAATTTTTTTTATATTTCAAATGAAATTCCTCGTGCTTTTTCAAAGATAATGTGTAGAACACGAAATAATCAGCAAGCTACTAATTGATTTTAATTGTTTAAACTACATGTTTGACATTTATTAGAAAAAAAAAATTTTTTGCATTACTCGACTGGACAAAGTATAATGTAAAAAATGCACTCAATTAATCGAAGATGGTAGACACTTTAAATCATTGTTATTATTAGATGCCGATTTAAATAGTAGATAGAAAATTATTTCCAAATTTTTCGTAGATGCATAAAAATCTGTAGTCTACTTGACAAGATTATAACTAGTTGCTTGAAGCAATAATAAAATTCGAAGATGACATTCTTACTCTTACCGTGTTTCAGAATTTTCGCGAGTTTTGCAAAAGTTGAAACTTTTTGTTGCTTCGAATAGAAATTCAAGATAAAAGGTCCCTTATAAGCTAAGGAAAGTAGATGTGAAAAGTTAACGAAGAAGGTGAATATCAAAGCTGTTCGATTACACGAATAGTAACGATACTAGTACGAACTTGAGATGGACGTCCATTGTGAAATGCGCCGAAGGAAAGTAGTTGATATTTATCAGCTCGAGTATCGACTTGCTCGACCGATTATACATCGATAAAATTGCACCGATGCACCATTGTTTTCCAAGCTGACAAGCTACCAACCGGTCTGCCATTATTACAATATAATATGTACGACCTGCTATGAATGTCAGCGACAATTTTCTATAAAAATGTGAAACATGTCATGGATGTTTCATTCCAATATCATTTGACTAAACACAAGGATGATAAAATAGCTTTTTCGGTAGAATTTTACAGAAATTACAATTTTAAATGTTTTTCTTTTTTTTTTTTTTTTGTTACAACAATTGCAAAAAAGGCATTTTCGTCAATTTTTTTCTTTTGTTACAAATGTTTATCCTGATTTTCTAATACATGTAATACACGTTATTCCGAATCATGCATATTTTTTAGGGGTGTGCGAGAATTCCCGAAAATTTCGAGATTCCCGAAGGAATCGGTTTTCCCGAAAATTTCGAGAACCCAGCTACCGTTTCTCAAACTACAATGCAAAATATGTAAATACACAGTTAAATTCCTTCTGCCAGTGAAATTATTGGAAACACGGATTCTAAGAATCGTATGACCTGATGTAAACGAACGTGTGACTGCGTGCTTAGTACTTGTATTATGTACGCTGCTGAGCAGTATCGCTGAGAAATTCGGGGAGCTCAGACGTATATTTCAAAATCTGTGTAAATTTAATGAAGATTAAAAATCTTTAAAAAAAATGTCGAGTGATAGTGTAGTTGTGGTAGCAGGAAGTAGTGCAGAATATATCGTGTTAATTACATTTATCGGTTTTGATCAATATATTAAACAAAGCAGTAATTCCGGACATACAATATTCCGGCAATCTCGTATAAACGGCAGAATCAAAGGTTGATATACTTTAAATTTATATTTACAATCAAAATACTTATGATATTGCAATACGTTGATATAATATATTAAAAGAAGAATCGTGCATTCAAGGATTAAACAACCCTGCGCAACCCTCGGATTGCCTTTGCTGTTGCGAGAAACCGGCGAGTGGCGATACACCGATCTCTGGCATTGGATTTCGTTGGAACAGAACGAGCTGGCGCAGTGGATCCTGGGAGTGTGAGTGGATGGAGCGGAGTCGAAGAAGACGTAGTCAGCGTAAACGGTAAGGAAAGGAGTAAGCGGCGAACCGGGGAGAGAGAGACGCGTAGCTCACCTGGCATACCAGCAGAGTATCGCGACACATTTTGATCGAATTCTTCTCGAGGTCGAGGAATGCCGGTATCTCCGGTAGATATTATTACATATTTAGGTGGAACGGTACGCTGCCGGAGGTAATACACTTAGACGTATTCTCTCTCTCGGTGCGCGTTGCCGTTGAACGTTGGTGTTAGTGAGGATGTTACACAAGTATTGGTGCACAGAGCTGACGATAGGGGCGATAGAAACGGCGATGGCGGCGGTGGCGGCGGCGGCGGCGGCGACGGCGGCGGCGGTGGTGGTGGTGGTGGTGGTAGTAATAGTAGTGGTGGTACAACGGGGGATATGTATCTAGCTTTACTCGAACACACCGCTCTATAACCGTGTGCCTCTGCTCCCGACCTCGAAGGATCGCAGTTCTGCGCGATATCCTGCATATCTCGGCATACCGTCCTCGTCGTTTCCGACATTGTTCCCCGGCCCCGGCCCCGACCCCAGTGTCCCGGCTCCAACTCCCGATCCACCGGCGAATAATCCTACTCGTTCGACGTCTACCGGGCCCGGCTTCTCAGCTAGATTCCACTCGATTCTGGTACCGTGCTTGCTGCACCGAAAACCCGCCACTGTCCATAATAATTGAACGCTTTTTCCGATAAACACCATCGGACACGCCTGGCAATCACAGCTTTACACTGCCTTTAGAGAATTTTAGGGATAGTTTCAGTTTTGTCAGGTTGTTACATGTTTGAAATGGCATCTAAATTTTAAAAGAATATCCAAGAGATATAAAATCTTTACTATATTATTGCCATCACTCAGATGGAAGTCTCCTTTTTTCCCTCGAAAAAAGATTGTATCATCGTAATGTTACACAATGTGCATTAAGCAAGGAAATATCCTCAGTAAGGATTTTTCGCTGCATTATTTTCAGCGACGATTTTTCACGTTGCAGTATTCTTATCGTAAATAATTTTACGATGCCTTTCGCAGCCCCCTCGTCGATTTTATTACTTAAAAAGAAAGGGGTGAAAAGACGTTCGATCCATTCCGACGACGAACCTTCGCATCACCTCATAAACTTGAAAAACATTTCTTATAACCGGCGGATATTTTGCGGGGGTGAGATTCCTGGAAGAGCTTATCACAGCGATGATTTACTTGCACGAACGACAAGCTACAAAAGTATTAAAATATCGCGTGAACAGCGCATTCGAGGAATTCCCGTATCATCCGTGGAACAGAGATGCTTTTATAAAACGTTACCTTTCCTTACGAAGTTTATCTCTTAAAATTTCTTCGGAATACCTTTCGCATTTTAAGGATACGTTATATCCTTTATTACGTTTCTTTTCTATTCCTTTTTCTGTTTCATTTTCAGAATCTTTTAGAATCTACTTAGCATTTTCGATTAAAAATTTTGAGAATTTGTAATTAAATCGTCCATTGAGTCATCATCAATTGTAAATGACGAATGATCGTTTCAAAATTCTGATTTTCTTTAAGTTTCAAGATTAAAAAGATACGTTTTCGATAATACCAATGTAATTTCGGTGAGCACTTGACCCGCCAACGTGATATCCGAACCATAATCTAGCCATTGTCGCGACCCAACGTAACAAATCCAAGTAGGAACTGGAATTGGCCAGCTTCCGTGTCCTGAGATGTAGTTTCAAACAATGTAGGAACAATAGATGTAACTTTTGTGAAATGATAATTTCAAGTTTACCCCAGTTTCCGCAGTATCTACCGTGTTGTTATGTCCAGAAAAAATTTTTTCAAAGCGGCACATTCACGTACAATTGTTAATTAATTTTTTTTCTGTTCTTATCCGAAATATTTGTAAAAGTTTATTTTCTTCAGAGGAGATCCTCTTTATTCAGACAACGGGCCTCCAAAGTTTCAAGATGATATTGTTTTTTTTTTTTTTTTTTTTTAAGAGAAATTATACGTTTTCATTCAATTATGATTCCAGTAGGAAATGCCAACCAAAATGAATTTACGGAATGGTTATACTTTAACCGAGGGTGAAGAGAGAGCCGCGGACGCGAAATTGCTGTGAAACTAACGGAATCGTTTAGCCGGCGCGCGGCTCGTCGACACGTCACGAAAATCGAGCGTTAACGTAATTAAGTAATTAAACCTCGCGGGTGAAATCGGACCGTGCCTTTACCCCCATTCAATGTGTCGCGTTCGGTGAAAATCCGCACGAAAACTGTGCGCGTTTCAGCCCCGCGGCTCGCCAGCTACTGTCACCGTGCACGCTCCGCCTACTCTGTGGTCGTTCGTAAACATTTGTCCAGGCACAATGTGTCCAACTGACAAAAGGAGCTTGCTGCAGTACAGCGCGCGCGTTTAAAAGCATTAATTACGACCGCTTTTGTCTCTCTGTAAAAGGCATGCTTTGACCGTCATTTTGATACGTGACATTCGATTTCACGAGCGTTTTGTCATGTTTAAAATCGGCCCGATAAACGCTTGCACGTGTGCGTTCAACCACACCGACAGTCTTCAACCTATCAACCGGTCCTTTATTTTTTTTTCTCTCTCTCTCTTTTCGCGTCACTTTGAGCGTTAATCGCTTTCGCCATTGCGTCGAGCAGTTCTATGTAGAAAATGTCATTTATGTATGTAAGTACGTATAAATATTAGGGATATTTTCTACTAATTTTTTTCTAAATTGTCTGTTTGTTTCTAATAATCTTTTAATCGTAGCGCCTTGGTTATTATTATATTACGAAACTGCACTATTATAACTAGAAAACGATAAAAATGCATTAAATTCAACAATGAAAGTTTCTTTTTATAATTGCAATTATAAATCTAAATATTTGAGAAACATTTCTTGTTTTTCATCTTTCGAATTTTATGTAATAGTTATTTCAACCTTGTTACTATTTTTTTACATGTTATAATTTTATTTACATGTTATAATTATACTTAATTATATTTTTATAAGTAAATAATGAAATAGAATATTTTACCGCATTTTTCTGATAAAATTTCATGAAACAATTGACTTCTGTAGATAAAGTAGGAAGCTTATTATCCGAGTAGTATCGATTGATTTAACAAATTTGCAAGAATATATTCAATTTGTTTTTTCTAATAAAATCAGTAAATTTCAAATACGAAAACTTCAGATTTGGATATTATAAAACTAAATATAGAAAAAATCAAATCTTTCAAATTATGTTATAGAATAATTAATTTTTAATCAATTTATATTTTAACATTCTATTTTTTATATAATTAATTTGCAATTATACATAGACAACTTTTTCTGTTGAAAAATTATTAACGAATATATACACGTGTAATAACGTAGTAAATATAATGAACAAAAAATATAATGAACATTTACTACTTTAATAATATGACAGTTTGTAGAATGTCAACAAATCGATAATAGGAAACCACATTGTTTGTGTGAGTAAACATAATTTAAGATTTTATGGCACACTTTGTAACTTACCCATTTAAAATTCCACACACAAAGACCTTTAAATCGTAACAAAAGCTTGAAGAAAGGTGTGAACCCCCCCCCCGGAAGGAATGGACTCTGAAGAAAATTATTACACAGGTATAAAAGAAAACTAACCCTAAGCTGATAGAAAAGCTTTTCTTCCAATAAAGTATGCAGATAGTAATCTTACAACAATACACCTGTACTAGTGTAATTATGACTTTGTCACCTTATGTACACAAATGATTATAGACAGTCTGTTATTGAAAAGATGCAGATGAACGTGTTTATGAGTACAAACGTAATATGGGGACCATAGAAATATGGAGACCATCACGTGATCATCATTTAATAGTAAAAAAAAAAAATAACTACAGTAAAGTGAATAGTTAAATACATAAACAAGCGAATATTCTTCTTTGACGCAAATTTCAAGTAACAATATCATTTATAACAGAAACGAAACATTTCATATGGCAGAACAGAAAAAAGAGCGCATGTATTTGATAGCATTCGGTGCATGTTTGTTTAGTATCAGATTGCATGGGAAAAAAGCGTATGCGAGAGAGAAAGGTGGTCGTTTTGTGGTTGGTGGGTTGGTGCGTTGCCATTTATCAAAAGGTTTATTCGAAAAACCTAAAACGTAACCTCTGAAATTCAACAAGTGCCCCTCGAACATCGAGCGAGAGAGAATAAACGAGTAAGCGAGCAACAACATCCAACCTCTATTACGTGCGTGACGCGACTGATGTTTTGCGCGGGGAGTGGGGAGACACGAGTCCCCCTACATCGTGGTAGGGGTACGCGATCGGTGTACTTCGGAATAGTTCGTAGCTAGTCGGACGCGTTCGGCTTCTGGTTTCTCCCGCGGCCGCATAAGCGGTGTCAGCGTGTGCGCAGACCGGCTGCGCAGCAGGCGTGTGCGTTGTCCAGATTCTTTGTGCCATTCCTGGCATACCAAAAACAAGAGTGGTGACTGCGCTCGTATTTACCGGGGTGCAGCCTTGCGCGCTAATATTACTGTGCGAATTTTACCCGTGGTGTAGAGGCCCCGCGCGCGCGCGACGCCACGTCAGCTCGCCCAGTGGTAAGTACATTAAAGAAAATAGTGTCGAAAGATCGCGGAAAGAGCGCGTCTACTCGTCCACGCCCGTGTGTCCCAGCGGCGTCGTCCCACACAGGGGCCGCGCACCGAACGGATTCGACAGCAGCGACGAGACGGCGATATACACACCGTCAGACACCGACAGACGGACAGACGGACAGACGGATGAAAGAGAGCGAGAGACAGAGGGAGCGAGAGACATTCGTGCGAAAGAAAGAGACAGATCTACAAACCTATCGTGTGATAAAGACAAATGTACAAAAGAGAACCTGAATACGATAGAGTGCGTGAATGGTGTGTATGCGTGGCGACGTTGTCCGGTAGAAAAAACACATACTCAATCCTCGTCATATTCCTCGTATGTCGTGATTGTCAGGTTCGTACTTCCGGTGACCGTGATGTTCGCATTGCTGGCTCCGATGTTGCTGTTAGTGCTCTTACTATTGCTTTCCGAGTGAGAAAGAAGGAAAGAAATATAGTATATGTATATAGTACATATACATACGAGCGAGAAAGAGAGACGGAAATAGAGAGAGAGAGAGAGAGAGAAAGAGAGAGGCTGTGTGAGAGAAAGGATAGGAAAGAGGGAGGGAAAGAGCGAGCGAGCGAGCGAGTGAGCAAGCAAGAGAGAAAGAGAGCGTGAGCGTGATGAAACGATAGTCGGATCAGTTTGATAAACGAAGAGCTGGAGTCGTGCCGGTCTATCCTTGCGGTTTGGCGGTACATCCGTCTTTGTCCGATTGTCGCGTGTTTACGAGCGTTGTGTCAGCTGTGTGTCAAGAGACGCAGCCGTGTGTATACGTGTGTGTTACGCGAAGCGTGTGCAGTCTCTCTGGCAACGTGTACGGGACTCGGCCAGCGACGGAGACTCGCGTCGAGGAGGTTAGGAGCGATCGGTGTGCCGGTGGTGGTGGGCTGCGTGCGTTTCCCCGAGGAGAGCGCGCCACGACAGAAACGTGTGCTTCTCTACCTAGTGCCTGCGTGCCTGCCCGCTCGCTCACCCGCTTCTGGTGAATTCGTATGGTGAATTATTGATCCGCGGCGGCGTGTGCGTGCGGAAAAACCGCGCGCGACTATAACGCACCGATTCACGCTCTGTACTAAAACCCGCTACCAACGAACCGATGAAATCAATGAGAAAGTTTGCCGAAAATCAAATAAAACGACAATAACACGTTGTTTTGAAATCTGTGCACGCGAGAACGCCTTGTATATCGTGCGAGATCGAAGGTGGAGCAGTGGTGGCAGGATTTTCTTTCCCCTAGGCCGGGACCAAGCGAGAAGTGTGCAAACACATATTACATACGTTGCTCCGAACGCAGTGTCTTCCTTTCTCCTTTTCTGTCACTGCCCTGCCTGCCCTGCCTCTCTCCTCCTCTCTTTGCCTCTTTCTTTCTTTCTCGCTCTGTCTCGTTTCCCCGCTCTTTCCGTTATACGTTTGTGTGTGTGCGTGTGCGTGTGCCTGTGTGTGTGTGTGTGTGTTCGTGCGTCTCGCTTTGGCTGCGTTACCTTTGCCGCGTGTGCATTCACGAAACTAAACGCGGGAAAATCTTCGGCGCGAAACATATCCCGAGGGAATGTACACTTGTCCTGTGGTTATCGCGGCACGCGTACGCTTCTCGGAGCCGGGCCAGTGAGTGAGATTTCCAAGACCGTGCGAAAGTATGTTGGCGTGAAGGCGACGAAAGTATGTTGTGAGGCGACCACCGAGATTAAGGTTCGAGGAACTTGAAGGCAAAGCTCTTTCGAGTCTTGATAATCCAGGACGAGCGAACCCTATCTCCACCACCGCGACTTGGATGGATACTGTGCATTATTTCTGGAGTGAGTTTCTCTTTTAATCGTTTGTGTACGTTGCATGGAACCAGGTCTGTGTAAGTCTGTCTGTGTGCCTGTGTGTACGCGTATACGTATGTATATGTAGCAAGAGGGGGAGGTGTAGGTGTGTGAATAACGAGTGTCTTCTAACGTGTCGTTTTTTCACGGCTTTCGCCACTCAAATTTGCCGCCGTCGGGACACACGTTCGCGTAGACAGATTTACGACTATTGCTCCATTTATTTTAATTCGTATTTTCCACGTAATTTCATTTGAAAACTTATTTCGGTGAATATTTTTAAGAAACATCGTAACAAGTGTCATTATTTAAGAAATTTTTTTTTCCCGCGTAATATTCTTCATAAAATTTTCGCGCCTATAATTCCTATCGTAAATGTTGTTACATACATATTTTTCAATTTGAATAAACATTTTTAACGCAAGATATACGATTTTTAACATAATATTGGATATTTAACGAAGGATAGGATGGAGGGATGGAGCGTTAAAAATTACTAGATTTCTTTTAACAAGTTCCCTAGATTTAAACTTACCTCCATCTTGCATCCGTTGCGTCTCCATCTATGATTCGATTTGAAGTTCATAGTTGCCAATCGACAGTTGACTTTAACGGTTAATGAGAAAAGTATCGTCGAAGTGACAGTGACTTTAATACCGTTACGTTATCGTAGTAGGTTATCAAAGTAATTCCACGGTGTGTAACATGGTAACACGCCATTACATAAATTTAATCAGATACTTGCTATCGTGGCGGGTAAGCGGGTACGACCAGGTACGCTGTTTGGAAAAGATTGTTGCCGTCGATTGTGCATTTCGGATCAGTTTATTCACGCTGACTTCTCCCTGTCATCGACCGGTTCGTATTTCAATTAAAAACTAGTTAGCCGGAACGCCAGTTTTCCGCCTTCACTTTATTGTCACTGTAAACTTGTATGTCATACAATGACATACGTTACAACAAACAACTTTTATGCATAAAGTTGCGATTTATTTCATTCATGTACATTAGATTATTTACTCTTTTTGTAAGAAAACATTTTCACTAAGAAACATTCAAGTAGCTTTAAAGTTGTATTGCCATTTGAATTACTTTGATTTTTAAAATCATTCATGTTGCATACACAACCTCAACATTCTGTAACATTGAATAACATTTTCATTATTTTAATTATTTTTGCTTTCTACGTCAATAAAGTGATTGTACTATGTTATTGTAGATTGTAAATGAGTATAATCGAACATAGACAATGAAAATTGAATAGAAAATTAATTTACTTTGGAATGGTTATATTTGAGGGCGTTGTGATAATTGGCGTACGGTTGAAGTTTAGAATTCCGTAAATTTTGTTAACACTGGTGCATTATTTTTATTCATATCTTATCTCTTCGCACCTATCCCATTTGATCAAAGAAATATCTCAAATTGAAAATGTGATTTGAATGACAATATAGATAAATAGGACATTGAGTATTCAACAGTTTCATCGCAATTTAAAAATTTATAGCCATACTCCATCCATTTTCGTCATAGGAAGATAAACAGTTATTTGTTAATGTATACTAATGAAACATGAGAATATTTTGAGAAATGATTATTCAATATTAGGAATATTCTCATGTGCAGTGTTGTTTATCTTTGGCTCTTTGTCACGCGGTGAATCATGAAACAATTGCTAATGTATAAAACGCGTAGTATTATGTTTAAAAAAAATATAGAGTTATACATTTATAGATGACATACAACAGTTTGGAGACAAATTAATTCTTCGTATAATATATAGAGTACAAAATAACAATTTCAAAAAATTCTACATTTATCAATGTCCATATTATATTGTACAATCATTAAGACAAATCTCTATCGGGTTTCACTAAATATACAATTAAAGATTCGTCAGTTGAAATGAGATATTTTCAAATTAGGCGACTTGACTCAAATTCAAACTGTTGTAGTCTTCTATCATACATGAGAAGACTACAACAATGAGAAGAAATTATTCAATTTTACATGGGTACTTTGTATCCAGATTTCTAAAATTATTATTAATGTTATCATATTATCTTGTCCATGCTGTCCATGATTATCTCCAATCTTTTTCTATCCGACGTGACGGAAGTTCAACAAATGGAAAATTTCAATTGTAAATTCACGTTCGAGGCAAAAGGAGTGTAGTCCATTCTTGTTGTGTGGAAGTTTCAATTAAGGATAGTGGGGATAATTTTACGACTCACCAAATGTGATAAATCGTTCGAAATGCATTTAAAACCACATACGTAATTATCGTTTAAATTGTACATACATATAAGCACGTGATGGTCCGCGGAAGTGTGGATTGTACGACGGTGCGTGTTGAAAGTCAAACGAGCCGGTTAAAAATCGTCGGAGCCGGGTTTCGAGGACCGGGCCCCCCGATACACGTCTTCGAACTTCTTAACCAGGGGCCGGATAAACATCTGGGGCTCCCTAGGGAGGGGAAAGGATATCTGGAAGTGAAGCAACTCTGTAGCGGCGGCAGGTGCAACCTGTGTGTTTCTTCGAGCTTGTTCTCGCCCCTCCTTGTTCACCGCTAGCTGAACAGCTCGTTTTTCTTCTGGAGCAAGCGGTGCACGCACGCGAACCGCGGAACCGGTAGCGTGGTAATCGGTAATCGGTAATCGATGAATTCGATATTCATATCACCTTCGCTGAAACTCATACACACACTTTCTACGCCTGATATCAGAAGCTTTTTATCCACGCGTCTTATCGCTATATGTCAAATATTGCAGCTCCAGATAGTGTCACTTTTCTTTTTTCTTTCCCTTTATTTCTAGTAGTAGATAATCGATTTTAATATCACGGTTATTTAATTGCGATTTCTCCCACTTTCTTGTTCTTTGTTATGTCTTTACAAGATTTGCAAATCTGCAAAATTACCGCAAAATGTTGCAAATTGAAAGAAATTGCAAAGCGACAGTAAAATAATTCGACTTCAACTCTTGTGGGATCATCTACGAACTGGGAATTGAAAAATAGCAGATTCATCGAGCTTTTTCGCGCTCGAACTCTGATTCTTTTTCTACTTTATCGCAAATTCGACGTTCTTTTGTTTGATAGGAGAGTGATTGCATCTCGGTAGACTCGTGACAACAGCTAGACTCATTAAACCGAGGTTTCTTCGCGATATAAATAGGACTTCTTGTCCCATTGCACTACGGAAAGAGCAAATAGATTATCACGCGTACCACGACTCACCGCTTCGACCACTTCTCTCTTCTCTTCTCTTCTCTTCTCTTCTCCTCTCTTCTGTTCTTTCCTTTTCTACCGTTCGTGCCATTCTGTTTCTCTATTTGTACACTCTCCTCTCTCTGAGTTTCATTTGCTCTTGCAAAAGCGCTCTCTCTCTCTCTCTCTCTCTCTCCTCGAAGAGGGGTCGGTAACGCGCGTGACTTTCTATTTGGCGTAGACGGTGCCAAATTGTCAAGTAACTAAAATTACCTTCGAAGGTGTACGCGTGTCTTTCTCTTTTTCCCTCTTGACGTCTTGCTCCACGGTTGTCCCTTTGCTTTTTTCACGCCGTGGCACTCGCGCCACGATTGGCTCCTTCTATCCTCCTCCTGCACGTCGAATTTCATTTTCCACTCTTCGTTTAATTGGACGATTCGTCGTTATTTGGCTTCTCGGATGTCCCGAGCTACGCAGAGCTGTCCTAGCCGGGAAATGTTTCGCATTATTTCACTTTATTTATCTCGGAGCAGTTGTAGATTTCTTTTATCGTCGATCCTGATCTCCCGTTGCTCCAATTTGAAATTTCGTTATCATCCAACTTGAAGTTCAACACTTTTGGGTCGCAACATTTAGTCTGGAAATCTAGAAAAATAGATAATACGGATCCTCGTTGGATATTCTTCTCAAATATTGTCTTAGGGATTAGTATCTTTAGCGCAGAATTTTGCAAATCATTCATGGTAGCTGCGAACATTCGTAGCGTCTTTATTAAGTGCTGTACAAACGATACTCGCGTCTCTTGTACTATGACAAAGCTTAAGCACGTGAAACGTGCAATTTCTTACGCAATCTTGCATTGCCATTCGCTTTAATTATTTTCTTCGAATATTTCGTTACGATCTGACCCCCCGACTTTCTGCGTATATTTCTGCAAATATTTTTATAAATAGCGAATGAGTTTTCAACGTGCAACGGAATGATCGATCGATTCGCGAGTGAGGAATAACCGATCGATATTTCAACTGTTTTGAAGAGTACGTGAGTTTATTTTTGTCACGAGACAGAAGCGAAAGCTTGGTGGAGAGTTGAACGTTGCGCCGAAATTGCGGAACGATTTAACCGGCGCGTGCTTCTGTCGAGTGTTCATTAATTCAGAAACGGGTCTGGGACATTAACTCCGGTGATCCGCGTGTGTGCGGCAAAGGACGACCTGTTCGAGCATCTAGTGACCCTAATAAAACCTACAGAAAAGGTCGTCGTTCCTAGATCGATTTGCGAAAGGTCGAACGTCACGCCACCGGAGATTTCTCGCATTTAAACCGATGTAACCGGCCCACCTCCCAGTCAAAACTAATTTAAATTGTTGTCTTTGGGATTTAAATGGCTGGTTAGCACGTACGACGCTTTGTCCGGCAATCGACGTTCGTTTGTCTAATTAATTATCGTCGTTTCCATAGACGGTAACAAACGTGAACAAACCGTCGGTCGGATCTTTGTCATGCATAGCATATCTATCGTTCGCACGAATCTCCCAAACTCTCCGACAATTTTCACTTTGCCTTGGAGCGAGACAATTACTGGGATATTTTGAAGTCTTAGCGCGATTTATTTATGTAGCTCGAAAAGTAGGATTTCTCCGATTAATCTATATTAATGGTAAAATTGAATTTTTATCGACATATCGTACGATGTTAATTAAATTTATACTAACTCGTATACGTGCAAACTAGAAGCAAACCCGTAAGCAACGTTTCAGTACGAAACAGCGAATCTGAATG